GGGAATGTCAACTGGTCAAACCACTATGGAAAGATGTGTGGCAGTTCCTCAGAACACTGAAAATGGATCTACTATAGGACCCAGCTATTCCACTCCTAGGAATCTACTCAAAGGACACAAAAATATTAATTCAAAAGGAAATCTGCTTTTCTGTGTTTATTGCAGCACCATTTACAATAGCCAAGAAATGGAAACAACTTAAATTCCCCAAAACAGTTTTTTTTAAAGATTTATTTATGCATACAGGAACTGGGGTATAGGCCAGAGGTACAGGGCATGAGAGGATTCACCAGAGACAGAGTGGAGAACAGAACAGGCAAACTGATCGAAACACACTGCTGAGGGCAGCAGTGGGCAAGACAGTAGAGATCTGATGTGCCATGTGGGTTGCTCCCTGGCCGGCTGGGATTGAACTCATGCTGTAGAGGCTGCAGATAGCTTCCAGTGCTGTGCTTAACTCCTTGCACCACCAGGGAGGCCCCTCCCCAAAACACATAAATGGATCAAGAACATGTAGTTTATATACATAATGAAATATTACAGTGATTAAAAAGATAAATGCCATTTTATGCCAATATGGATGGAACTAGAAAGGATTTTGCTAAACTAGATAAGTCAGAAGGAAAAAGATAAATATTGGATGAATTCACTTACATGTGGAATAAGAGAAACCAAATAAAGTATCAGAAAAGAGAAAAAACTTGCAAGTTGACCATAGATCTGAGGCATCAAGAAGGAGAGGGGTTTGGTGAGTGGTAGAAACAGGTGAGAGAAAAGCACAAGGGACTGTCGTGATGGATCATGGAGGCTATGGTAGCAGAAGAACTAGGGGGACTACAACTGAGGGGACAAATCGAATATTGTCCAAAAATTAACAATGTAAGAAAGAAAAAAAAATGAAATAAAATATAAAAACTAAAAGGATAAAGTATCTGGACCATTTTATATGACCTTATATAAAGGTTATATTGAAGGTTTTCAGTTCTATATAACCTTGTTATTATCTGTCTTATTTTTTATTTTAGCCATTCTAGAGACTGTGAAGTGGTATTTCATTGTGGTTTTGATTTATGTTTCCCTAATGACTAATTATGTTGAACATCTTTTTATATGTTTATTGACCACTTGTACATCTTCTTCAAATATATATTCATGTCTTTGACCTATTTTGAAAATAAAGTTATTTTTCTTTTTGTTAATGGGTTGGTAATATTTTCTATTTGACCATTGCTTTTATATGTGAAAAGTTATAAATTTTGGTGTAAAAAATCATATTCTTTGCTAGTTTAGTGTGTTTTCTTATTTGTTATTTTTTTTTCATTATCTTGCATTTTTCAGGGATATAATCATATCATCTACTGAGTTAGAGTTCCCCCACCCCATTTATTTATTTATTTCTCTTATTTAAGTTATTAAATAATAATTGCAATAATAATAATAATTGCAACATTAGTGATATTCCTTTTATTGTTCGTTTGTTTGGCTTAGATATACATTTGCTACAGGACCCATTGGACCTAGATCTTACTTGCTTAATTCTATAGTTAACGCAACGACTGACTAATCAGAATTCTGTCAAGCACCAGTGAGAACAGACTCTCCACCTTGCGGAATCTCACTGGTTTCAGGCAATGGTTCCACAACCAGCTGAAACCTGCTGGCAGCATAGATGCAGAAGGCAGAAAGCTGACCTACAAGTAACGTAGGACTCATTAGCATGCTAAAATGCACAACTGTGGGTGGAGACTCAAGATGTTAATGAGACAAATGAAGAAGGCTGTAACCGGCCCTGCTACCCATCTCGCACCCCCGCCCCGCCCCGCCCCGCCCCCGCGCCTTACCGCAGCCTCTCCCGCCTGAAACCTGCTATCCCACCTGGTAACCAACACTAGAAAACCGGCCCCCCCCACACCTCCCGCATCCCTCCCCCCTGCAACTCTCAAACTTGGGCAGTTGCTTCCCCTCTTCTATTGTGTGAGCCACACAATAAATGCTACTCGCTTGAAACCTGTTACTGTTTTTTTCAGTTTGGGGCGGAGGATTAATTGGTGGAAGCCCAACAAAGACCCTTTGGAATCTGTAACACTTGTATTATGTTATGAAGTATTCACCTAGTCTTATTTCATGTAAAATATTAAAACTAAGACTGGATGTAAAATTTTAATGTCTATGGAGGTGAGCATGTTACTTTTCTCTTTAGAGCCACTGATCTCACTAATATCCAGTCAGCCTATCTTTCCTGGAATAAATTCTGTTTAGTCACAATGGTGTATTTTTATTTTAATGTACTGTTAAATTCTGTTTTGTAATATTTTATTGAGTATATTTAAATTAGAACTTAATAATTAAGATTGTTCTATGCCTTCCCCTCTTTCGTGGGTACACTCCTCATCAGGTTTCAATGTGTACTTGTAGAATGTGTACTTGTGTTGTGCCCACGTCGACCAGTGCAGCCCCCAAGGACACAGACAACCGATGCAAGGGCACAAAGGAGTTTAATACGGGCTCGAGACCGGGCCCTCGACACGCACCGATGCAACGGCAGAGGTCGAGAGCCCCGAACAGAGGAAGCTGGGACATCTTATAGGGTCGCGAGTGGCGGGAACTTTGAAAGAAGTTGGCAATTATTCATTGGCTACTACAAAGGCACTTTGGGCGCGCGCGGTTACAGTTTCAAACTGATTGGACGGTTAGAGATGCTGTCCCATTTATGGACAGGATTGCCCTCATTGGTGGCTGGGGTGGTCTGCTTTTTCGTCACCAAGTGGAGTGAGGGTTGTGACTGCTGAAACTATCTCCGGAATGCGGCAGGACAAGGACTAACATATCAAGGTGGAGGATATACAAAATGGCGAAACCTCAGCTAAGCTTGGTTCCACATTTCCCCATTTTTTTTTTTTTTTTGAAAAAAAAACGGCTAGTCAGTTAAGAAAATAACACAGCTACCAAGCCTTTTATCAGTTAGTCAGTCTCAGAATTATGGTTACGTTTAGTCACACTATGTGTCATTTTGTTGTTCATTCACAGGGTTATAGGTCCAGCAAAAGTTCTCAGCCACAAATGAGAATTACTCTGCTTAAACAAGAGATGTTTCTTTAGTTGTTTTTATCCCTGAAGCCTTCCTAAACTCCTTAGAGGTCCTCTTTTGTACTGTTCCTGAAACTTGCTTAATCACCCTAACTCGCCCTATGTCTCATTCCTCCCTTTTTGGGAATGGAGCCCCTAACTGCAGTCAGGGAAAAGGGGCGTCGTTCTGATCAGTAACTGCTTCCTGCTGAAAGTGGGCGATGAGGGGAAACAGTCAGGGCTCCACTCCTATGTATTGGGAGGGGTCCTGTTTTAGGGGTTGTTGGGGAGAGTTATATTGGCGTAAGGGGGCATATTGGGAGCGCAGCACCATTAACTGGACCGTGTTTACCCGTTGTTTAATAAAGGCCACGAGTCGATTAATGACACAGGGCCCGATAGACAGAATTAAGAAGAGGGTAACGACTGGGCCCAGAAGAGGCAAGAGATAGGGCAGCCATCCTCCTAAGCCTTCCCAAAGAAATGCATTGTTGTCTTCTAGCTTTTTTCTCCGGTGTTCTAGTTCCTCTTGTAATTGCTTAATTTTATTTCTAACTATTCCTGACTTGTTAGCATAGAAGCAACATTCTTCCCGCAGGTAGAGACAGATGCCTCCTTCCTTTGCTGTGAGAAGATCTAGCCCGCGGCGGTTTTGCAGGACCACCGCGGCCAAAGAGTCTAACTGAGACTGTAACTCTAAGGTTGTATCTGCTAGCCGCCCAATGTCCCCCACCAGCTGAGCTGAAATTTTTTGGTAAAGGTTAACAGAGGTCCCAATTCCAGCAACTCCGGTCCCCACTCCGGCTGCCACCCCCAGGCCGAGCAGTAGTGGGGTAATTATGGCCCGCTTATGTCCGGCAGGCACAGACTGGATGAGCTGTATGGGAAGGCTTTGGTTGCCTGGGACCACTCCCACATCGGGCATGAGATATGTTAAAATGCACAAGCCCGACCAGTTAGCAGGGAGTACGGGGTAGGCTGTGGTGCCACAGAAGAAAATAGTGCCCAGTGCCGGCGGGCACATAGAGGCAGAGCCATTAAAACTGGGCGCCTTAGTTGCACTGACTACTGAACTGCAGAGTACCTTATTTACTTGACCCACTCTTAAGGTCCCATTGTGACTAAGGCATGGCATCTGAGCAACTGTTGGGGAGAGCTTGACATTATTGATGGGCAAGGTCTGGTTACACGTATGGGTTGGGCCCTTTAGGTTCGTCCAATTAATCCAGTTGTACACAGCAGGGATCGCTGTGTAACGGGGGGGGTCCTTCTCTTAGACATAACCAGCAATCGCTGGCCAGGGTTGGGTTGGTCTTGTTTAAAAATTGTAGGGCTGAGTCTAACATGGCCTGTACTGTCTTTTCCAATTTAAGGGAACCCACCGGGCCTGGGATGTGTATCGGCTTGAACCACCGATCCTGTGTTTGGGCAACTTGTTCAAAAACCCTCTGAACTTCCTGCTTTCGTGCGTGGTCTTGCACACCCCCACCATCTGTCATCCCCCAGTGGGTTTGCAGAGTCCAACAAAAGGGTTTTCCTGCTTTGACAGGGCATACATGTCCCGCGTTATTTCCTAAGGATATACCAGTCCAGAAAGTTTGATTGGACTCTGTGCACTGATAAACAGTAGACCTTTCATAGCACTGTGAATGAACAAAGGTATAGGCTGAAAAACTCCCCCCTTTTTACAGTGATTGCAACTTTTATTTTTAGGCGGCATTTGATTTAAACGCTTCCAACAGACCACCCTCCCCACTGTACCTGGACATCCATGGGTGGTGCCCTTAATCAGGGTCGCCACAAACAGAGGAACTCCCTTAAGGCTGCAAGCACGCTTACTAACATAGCACTTGCTCTGAATATGACCGAATATGCCTTCGGTGATGCACCGTCGGCAGGGATCCCAGTCAGCCCCGACAAGGAGAAAAAAAGGAAGGACAGTAGGTAGCCAACATTACAGTTTGGTGTCATTTTTCACGGCGTGGGCAGTGGTCTGGGAGCGATGGGTTGTAGCCGGGAGCGCCTGAAGAGTCAGCTTGAGTGGATTGGTGGGATGCTTCCGGGCTCGCCACTGCAGCTGGGAGTCATCAGTTGGTGCCGTCTTGACGTGTGAGTGATGAACCCAGGCCGCGATGCCGTCCACTTTGAGTGCGGTGGGTGTGGTCAGGAGGACGATGTAGGGACCCTTCCACCGGGGCTGGAGGCCACGACCGTCGGTCTTGTGTCGGCGGACAAGGACAAGATCTCCAGGCTGAAATTTGTGGGCTGTCTGAGAAGGTCCTCCCCCTTCATAGAGCGCTCTGAGGCGGGGCCAGACCTCCTGGTGAGCCTGCTGTACAGCCCACACAGAAAGAAAAAGTTCACAATCAGAAGGCAAATCACAAGCTAACTGCGCACCGTGCGGTGTGGTTGGGGGGGCGGTTCCATAGATAATCTTGAACGGAGACAGACCCAGACGATAAGGGGAATTGCGAGCCCGGAAGAGGGCATAGGGAAGGAGAGTCACCCAGTCCCCGCCAGACTCTAAAGTTAATTTAGTTAAAGTTTCTTTTAAAGTTCTGTTCATTCTCTCCACCTGCCCTGAACTCTGGGGCCGATAGGCACAATGGAGCTTCCACTCTGCTCCCAGGGCAGAAGCCACAGATTTTGATACCTGAGAGACAAAGGCTGGTCCATTGTCTGACCCAATGGTCACTGGAAACCCAAATCTAGGAAAAATGTTTTCCAACAGGATTTTGGCTACCACTCGAGCTGACTCACCTCTTGTCGGGAACGCCTCCGGCCATCCGGAAAACGTGTCCACCAGGACCAGCAGGTATCGATAGCCAAATTTACCTGGTCTTACCTCGGTGAAGTCTATTTCTCAATGGACCCCCGGGCGCGTTCCTCGCGGCCTCATTCCTGGTTCACCGGTTGTCTTGGTGGCGTTTACCATGGCACACGACTGGCAGGATGCCACTACTTGTCGCACGGTACAGGTTGCGTCCCGGACATGGAGGTTCCATTGCCTGATTAGAGTTAGAATTTTTCTCTCTCCCAAATGCGTGGCTTGGTGCAAGCGCTGAATGAGATTAGTGGCCAAGTGTGCTGGCAAGATGGCCTTAGTTTCTTGGGTGTACCACCAGTGTCCCAAAGAAAAAGCACCCGGTAGAGACTGTATGTAGTCAAAGTCCATAGCACTATACTCTGGGTCTTTCGGCAGCTGCGGGTCCCCTGGGTCTGGGAGTTTTACTGTCAGGGCATTTACCGGCATTAGGGCAGCTTGGCGTGCTGCCTCATCCGCCCGCTTATTACCTTGAGTTGGAGTCGAGGAGTCCTTTTGATGACCTGGATGGTGTACTATAGCCAGCTTACGTGGTAGCCACAGCGCTGCCAGGAGATCCATAATTTCTTGAGCGTTTTTAATGCCTTTGCCGTCGGAGGTTAAGAGCCCGCGCTCTCGATATATGGCCCCGTGTACGTGGGCCGTGGCAAATGCATATCTGCTGTCAGTATACACAGTTAAATTTTTCCCTCGAGCCAAGGTGAGAGCTTTGGTTAGGGCAATTAGTTCAGCCTTTTGAGCGGACGTCCCGGATGGCAAAGGCTCAGCCCATATGACTTCCTGCATGGACACCACTGCCGCCCCTGCCGCTCTTCGGCCCTCGTGGATAAAACTGCTCCCATCCGTAAACCAAACCAGTCCGTCCGGCAGAGGGTTATCTCGCAGATCAGGGCGTAACCCTTGGACCTGGGCCAAGATATCAACACAGTCTAGATGGGCCTCCAGGTCAGGGGCAGGTAGGAGGGAGGCGGGGTTTAGCCCCGTGGGTGGCGAAAAATTGACCCTCTCTGGGTTGAGCAATAGGCTTTGGTAATGCGTGATTCGGGCATTACTCATCCACCTCTCTGGCGGCTGCCTGAGGACTCCTTCCACCGCATGGGGGGTGATTATGGAAGTAACTTGTCCCAGAGACAGTTTTTGGGAGTCCTTGAAAAGGAGGGCAGCCGCTGCCACCATGCGTAAGCACGGTGGCCAGCCGGACGCCACCGGGTCTAACTTTTTAGACAGATAAGCCACAGGACGCCTCCAGGGGCCCAAGGACTGAGTGAGCACCCCTTTAGCTATGCCCTTTGCCTCATCTACGAACAAATGGAAAGGCTTTGTAATGTCCGGAAGACCCAGGGCTGGTGCAGACAGTAAAGCCCTCTTTAAGGACTCAAAAGACTGCTGCATCTGGGGAGTCCACTGAAAAGTTACTTTTTCCCGGGTAGCCTCATACAAGGGTTGGGCCAGGTCTGCGAATCCAGGTATCCATAGCCGGCAAAACCCAGCAGATCCCAGGAACTCACGTACCTCCCTTTTGGTGGTGGGTGTCGGCAACTGTAAGACAGTAGCTTTTCTGGCTTCCGTCAGCCACCTATAACCGTTTTTGAGGCGGTAGCCCAGATAGATTACCTCGGGCAGGCAAATTTGTGCCTTTTTTGCGGAGACGCGGTATCCCATCTGGCCCAGTTCCGTCAGTAATTCGGCTGTTCCTGTTCGGCAGGCATGCTCACTTTCCGCTGCAAGTAACAGATCATCAACATACTGGAGCAAAGTTAGTTCGGGAAATCGGCTGCGGAATTTTCTTAAATCCTCATGAAGGGCCTCGTCAAAAAGGGTGGGAGAGTTTTTAAACCCTTGAGGCAACCTTGTCCAAGTTAATTGTCCACTGATGCCCCGTTCCGCATCCTGCCATTCAAAGGCAAACATTTCCTGGCTTTGGGGTGCTAGTGGTAGACTAAAGAAGGCATCTTTTAAGTCCAATACTGTGTACCACACATGAGTAGGTGGCAAGGCACTCAGCAAGGTATAAGGGTTTGGGACTGTGGGGTGGATATCTATGACCCGTTTATTTACTTCTCTGAGGTCCTGTACCGGCCTGAAGTCTTGCGAGTGTGGTTTTCGCACCGGTAACAAAGGGGTGTTCCATGACGAATGGCATGTTTTAAGGATACCACTGTCCAATAGCCTCCGAATATGAGGCGTTATTCCTGCCTTGGCTTCTGCAGGCATAGGGTACTGTTTTACCCGAATGGGTTCAGCCCCAGGCTTTAGCTGGACTATAATGGGTGGTCTGTGGGACGCCAGGCCAACGCCCCCGGTTTCTGCCCAAACATTCGAGAAAGATTCCATCCACCACCCAGAAAGGGGTGGGTGATCTGGCGCCACCAAAAGGCGGTACTCATCTTGAAGGGAAATCGTGAGGACGTGTAGGGGAGAGCCCTTAAAGTCCTTGATTTCGACACCTTCCTGTCCAAATGAGATTTGCGCTCCTACCTTGGTTAAAAGGTCTCTTCCAATTAATGGGTACGGGCATTCAGGCATTACAACGAAGGTGTGCGAGACCTGACCTTTTCCCAGGTCTACAGATCTTTTCGTGGTCCAGGGATACTGCTTGCATCCCGTAGCCCCTTGCACCCACGAAGTTTTACCGGAAAGTTTACCCAAGGGTTCCGTGAGGACTGAATGCTGTGCCCCCGTGTCCACAAGGAAATTAACGGGTCTCCCCTCCACTTTTAAGGTTAGCCGGGGCTCGGGGAGGGTCGAGCCCTGACGGTCCTAGTCACTGTCATCTCTTGTGCCCCCGAGCACCAGGACAGGAGTGTCAGAAACGGCGGGGTTGTTTGAGGTTATTCCCCGTTTCTTTGGGCAATGTTTGGCCCAGTGTCCTTTTTGAGTGCAGTATGCACATTGATCACGCTGTAGGGTCCTGCCTGTCCCTGTGGAGCTGGGGCGGCGGGAGGGGTGTAGCTTACCTGGGTCGTCCTTTTGAGTGACGGCGAACAGGATTCTGGCCATATCCCGAGTGTGGCGTGCGTTTTCAGCCGCCCTTACCTTCCGTTCTTCCTGGCGGATGCGGTCTTCTCTTTGCTCAGGAGTTTCACGGCGATTGTACACCTTTTCTGCCACCTCCATAAGATCTCGAATAGATTTTTCTCCCAGTTTATCTATTCTTTGTAGTTTTTGTTTAATGTCAGGAGCCGCCTGGTTAACAAAGGCCATTACCACCGCGGCCCTGTTCTCCGTTGCCTCCGGATCCATAGGAGTATATTGCCGAAAAGCTTCCATGAGGCGTTCTAGAAAAGCCGCGGGGGTCTCCTCCCTTCCCTGCTGCACATCCCCTACCTTGGCCAAATTGGTGGGCTTGCGGGCTGCTGCACGCAACCCTGCCATTAGAGTCTGGCGGTACACCCGGAGTCTCTCCTTACCTTCAGCCTGGTTAAAATCCCAGTCAGGTCGGGTCAAGGGAAACACTAAATCTATGCGGGCCGCGTTTGTGGTGGGTGTGCCATCTTCTCCAGGGACTAATTTCCTGGCGGCCGTCAGTATACGATCTCGCTCCTCAGTGGTGAAGAGGACCTGCAAGAGCTGTTGGCAATCATCCCAGGTGGGCTGATGAGTAAATAGAACAGTGTCTAGGAGATTAACAAGGTCTTTAGGGTTGTCAGAGAAACGTGCATTTTGTGCTCTCCAGTTGTAGAGGTCACTGGTCGCAAACGGCCAGTAGTGCATGGGCTGGTTGCCCTGCTCATTAGGCAATCCTGCCACACGCAGGGGCAGGACGGTGGAATCCGGGGAATTCGCCTTCACTGAGCGGGTGCCTGCCGCCGGACCCTGCCCACGAGCCCCGCCCGCCTCTGGGGGAGGGTGGTCAGCCGACCGCAGGAGTTGGGGAGGGTTACTACAAGGGTTATGATAGGGTGGTGGAAATAGAAGTTCCTCCGGGGTAGAGTCTTGGAAAACCGCAGGTGCCGACGGGGTGTTGGGGTGGGACCCAAGCAGTTTAGCCGGCAGTACGGGTTGTGCCTGTAACGACAAAAATGGCTTTAACCAAGCAGGGGGGTTCTGGACTAGATCTTGCCAGACTAAGATATACGGGAGTTGGTCAGGATGTCCGAATTTTCTTTCACTGGTGATGATTTCCTTTACGCGACGGACAATCTGTAAATCAAAAGTTCCCTCCGGGGGCCAACCAACTCCGAACTTCGGCCACTCTGAGGAACAAAAGGTGATTAGAGGGGATTTTTTTATTTTTACACTGAGGTCCGACCCTCTGGACCTGACATCTTTAAAATGCTGTAAAACAACGGATAGAGGGGTAGATGGTGATTGACCCATGATGACAAATGCTAGAAGTACAGTGGCTGTCGTCACAAGAAACAGGCCAAAGACTGATTTTTCAAAAGGCCCCCAAAAGGGGTATCTGCTTCCCCGCAAAGGGTGTGGCCTTCCTAACATGTGGTCCGGGGACGTCTCCCGCGGTCCACGCCGGCGGCTTTCAAGTGCGTCCACTTAAGCCTGACCCGGCTATTGAACAGATTTTCAGGTTTGCAAACAATTACAGCTTTTACAGGTACAAAGTACAAAAGATACAGGTACTAAGTACAAAACAGCTTCTACAGGTACAAAGTACAAAAGATACAGGTACTAAGTACAACTACAGGTCTGCAGACTTGAAGCTTACCTGGGCGAGTGTTGGAACTCACCTGCGCGCTTTAGAACTCCTTTCGGTTGCTCGGCAGTTGGGGTCTGCACTCGTCGATCCCGGACGAGCCCCCAAAATGTTGTGCCCACGTCGACCAGTGCAGCCCCCAAGGACACAGACAACCGATGCAAGGGCACAAAGGAGTTTAATACGGGCTCGAGACCGGGCCCTCGACATGCGCCGATGCAACGGCAGAGGTCGAGAGCCCCGAACAGAGGAAGCTGGGACATCTTATAGGGTCGCGAGTGGCGGGAACTTTGAAAGAAGTTGGCAATTATTCATTGGCTACTACAAAGGCACTTTGGGCGCGCGCGGTTACAGTTTCAAACTGATTGGACGGTTAGAGATGCTGTCCCATTTATGGACAGGATTGCCCTCATTGGTGGCTGGGGTGGTCTGCTTTTTCGTCACCAAGTGGAGTGAGGGTTGTGACTGCTGAAACTATCTCCGGAATGCGGCAGGACAAGGACTAACATATCAAGGTGGAGGATATACAAAATGGCGAAACCTCAGCTAAGCTTGGTTCCACACTTGTAGGAAAAAAAACTTGAAATTTTTCCCATTTCATCACTTTGTGGCAGTTTAGAAAGCACTGAGAGTGTTATTTGTTAAAGGCTATGTAAATTCCTTTATAAAATTGTCTAAGGTTATTTTGGTGACTAGTTCTTTGAAAACTATTTTGGTTTGCTGGAACTGCCATAACAAAGCACCACAAACTAACAGAGTGACTTAAGCAAAGGAAATTTATTGTCTTGAAATTCTAGAGGGTGGAAGGTTGAAACTGAGGTGTTGGCAGGACCATGCTCCCTTCAAGGCTTTTGGGGATCTGTTCCAGGCTTCTCTCCCAGTTTTTCAGTCTCTTAACTCATGAAAGTGTAGCTCCAGGGTCCACGTGGCTCTATCCAAATTTCCATTTTTTGTAAGGACACCAGTCCTTACAGGCTTCGGGCTCAGCCTGCTCCAGCGTAACCTCATCCCAACTTAATTACATTTGCAATGTGTCTACAAATAAGAGCATAGTACTGGGGGCTAGGAACTGGACACATGAATTTTAGAAATAATTCAAGCCATGGTAACACTCTTACTTATTTCTTCTTATAAATCACTTATTTAAATTTTGTAACTCTGTTGGAGCTAATTCTGGTTTGTTTAATTTTTCTAGGAAATTGTTGGTTTCATAAATGATTTCAAGTATATTTGAATAGAATTGTCCAGGTAAAGTTGTATGATTCTTTTAATTTTCTGTTTCTGGTTATTTCTCCCTATTATTCCTTCTTTATGATATTTTTAAAAACTATTTCCTGATCATTCTATTTGGTGGTTTATAGATTCTAGCCCACCATCCTCATAATAACCTTTTTGATTTGTCAATTATGCTACTTTTCTTTGTTTCCAAATCTCTGGTTTCGGTTTTATCTTTTTTAATACTCCCTTATGTTTTCTTTCAGTTTATTTTTTCTCTAAATGACTAAGTGCATTTGTTTTAAAAATAACTATACAGTAAAATTTAAAAAATCCTTTTGTTGTACAAGTCTATGAATTGTAACATATATATATATATATATATGTGCTTAAAGTGGCAGTATTTATGTGCATATATGTGCAGTTGTGTGTGTGAGCATAGTATTAGTCCTCACCTAATGTCATCAGTAGATGTGACTTTAAGTGAGATGTAAAACAAAAGCAGCTCCTGAATAATAACGTTTCCTTCAATGTCACTGGGATTGTTTTCTCTCATCAACATTATAACCATAACCGTAACCAGCATTCACCATAACCAGGATTCAGAACTATTCTGTGACCTAAAATACAAAGTAAGGCTCTCTTACTGCTCACAGTCTCCCCCATTCCTAGCCCCTGTCAACTACTGATCTGTTCTCCATCGCCACACTTTTGTCTTTTAGAAAATTATATATGACTAGAACCCTTTTTTAAGATTTATTTATTTATGCATAGAAGAACTGGGGTGTAGGCCAGAGGGGTGGGGGTGAGAGGAGTCACCAGAGACAGAGTGGGGAACAGAACAGGCAGACTGACTGAAATACACTGCTGAGGGGAGCAGCGGGCAAGACAGGAGAGGTCTGCTGCGCCATATGTGGGTTAGCTCCCTTACTGGGGATCGAATTCAAGCCGCAATGGCGATAACATGATAGTGCTAAGACTTAACGCCTATGCTACCAGGGGGGCCCTATGAATAGAATATTATCTTATGCTTATTACTTTATGAAAAAAATTTACTGAGGTGTAATTGACATGTAAGTTTACATAGGCTTGAGGTATGCAACATACTGATTTGATACTTGTATAGATTGTGAGATGAGCACCATCAATAGTCTAGTTAACATCTGTCAATATGAAGAATTAACTTTTAGGCTTTACTGCCTTGGCAGCTTTCTAGTATGCACTGAGATATTATTGACTCTAGTCACCATGATGGACCTTACATCCCCAGGATTTATTTATTTTATCACAGTAACTTTGTTCCTCTTGGACCTCTTCATCCATTTCACCTGTCTACTTTCATTAAACACAAGCCTATAAGATTCATCCAATGGTTCTGGGGATCAATATTCTGTTCTTGTCATTGCTGAGTAGTATTTCATATGTGAATATACCACACCCATCTACTGAAGGGTATTTGGGTTGTTTTGGCAATTATGAATAGAGTTGGCAGGCACATTTGTGTACAGGTGTTTGTGTGAACATACGTTTTCTTTTTTCCAGGACACAAACCCAAGAATGGGGTTGCTGGGTTGCATGTTAAGTGTAGCTGAAACTTTTTAGAAAATATGATCTGTTTTTGAAGTGGCTGTGCCATTTTGCATTCCCAGCATGAAGTATAAGAATTAAACACTTATAATTACAATGTTTTATTTTTTTAAAGATTGATTTATTTATGTATACAAGAGCTGGGGTATAGGCCAGAGGTGTGTGTGGGGAGTGAGAGAATTCACCAGAGACAGAGCAGGGAACAGAACAGCCAGACTGACTGAAATACACTGCTGAGGGGAGCAGCGGGTGAGACAGGAGAGGTCTGCTGCGCCATGTGGGTTGCTCCCTGGCCAGCCAGGGATCGAACTCATGCTGCAGAGGCTGCTGGTTGCTTCATAGTGCAGTGCTTAACCCCTTGCGCCCCCAGGGAGGCCCTAAATACAATGTTTTAAAGAGTGACACTAAGCGACGTGTTTAAACACCACCTGCGTAGATGGGCACAGCCTCTCCATGAAGCACCGTGTTTAGAACTGTGCGGTTCTATGGTTCTTTCTCCGGTGAGACATGTCTGAAGAATGTGCTGAGCAGAGCTGAGCAGAGCTCTATGCACAAGTGAATGATGTTACTTCTTTCCGTTTGTCTGATAAATTTGCCCATCTTTTGGTTTTATTTTGTGATATGATCTGAAAACCCTTTCCCAAAAAAACAGATGAGGAGAACTCACTCACAATTATTGATAGACCAGGCATATTAAGTCTGAGCTCTGCCTCAAATCCTTTTTTTTCCTCTCCAATTTCTTTCAGCTCTTTCACCTGTGTTTCATTTTGGTTGTTTATCTCATTCCATCTATCATAAGCTGTGACGTGTTTTCCTCACTTCTACGCTTTCATTTACTTTCTTTAGTTTTCTTACTATCTTATATTTCTGCTTTGTGATCTTTCATATATGATGTTGCTTTATACAATTTGTTTAATTCATTAAAAGATGTCATTAATAAATTTGTGGCAACATTTTTCAGGTTGGTATTCTTTGCCTGATAAATTTTGCAGCTCTTACTTTTCCCGGGATTTTACCTTTCTTTTAAAAAAAATCATTACATTTATTAATTTATTTTCTTACATTGATGTTGACTTCTCCCCTCAGGTGTAGTCCCCATAGTTCTCCCACCACCACAGCACCTGTGATGCATCACCACAGTCCCTTGTGCTCTTCCCTCCCCTGTTGTAACCTCCTCTGCCCTCCCCTGCTGTAGGCCTCAGTGAGATCTCTGGTCTGCCTGCAACTTTTGTCTTTTTTCCCGACTCTTTATTTGGTTTTTCTATATTCCACATATAAGTGAAACCATCTGGTATTTATCTTTCTCCTTCTGAATTATTTCACTGAGCATAATCCCTTTCAGCTCCATCTATGCTGCTGTAAAACGGCATGAGCTTATCTTTTTTGATGACTGAGTAATATTCTTTCATGTATATATACACCACATCTTCTTAACCCACCGTCTGTTTTGGGACATCTGGGTTGTTTCCATATCTTGGCTGTTGTACATAGTGCAGCAATAAACATAGGAATGCAGGTTTCCTTTCCAGTTAGTGGAATTAGGCTGGATCTT